AAAAGTCTGTGAAAGTGATTTTGTGCCTCTTTGAGATGAACAATAATACGCCGTTCACTTGCAGAACGCAAGTCTAGAGGGCACATAACTCTGATGATTAATGAATTTAGGTAAATGGGTGCAGAGCCATGGTGGTGGTTTTGTAGGCAAACATTAATGCCTTGAATTTTATGCGAGCAGCTATTGGTAGCCAGTGCAAATTGATGAACAGAGGTGTGACATGCGTTCTTTTCGGTTCATTAAAGATTAATCTTGCAGCGGCATTTTGGATTAATTGTAGAGGTTTGATAGAAGTGGCTGGAAGACCTGCCAAGAGAGCATTGCAATAGTCCAGCCTGGATAGAACAAGAGCTTGAACAAGGAGTTGTGTTGCATGAAAGAAAGAGCCTGATCTTCCTAATGTTGTATAAAGCAAATCTGCAGTTTTAGCAATGTAAATGTTATAAATAATCTATAATCTAAGGCAAATGTCTGTTTTAGTGATATACTGTATGATTCTATTAAAAGATAAGCTGTGTCGTGACTATGAATAAAATCAAGAAAATGATTTTTAAACATTACATTCTGAAGTTTCTATAAACTCATAAGCTTTAGAAACCAAAACCGATCTCTTCAGGCAGAATCCAGTGTCCGAGGTCGGATCTGAACATTCTGATGTGGAGACTTCATCTAACAATCATGTGTAACTAAAACTTTACATTTCGGATGATTTTAGTTTTTTAGAAGCCCTGCTTTATCCTTCATTCTGTTTAATTACTTAACATTACACAAAACTGTTTGTTGGCATTGCGTACTAGAGGTGCATTATTTCAGCCAGATGTGTTATATGAACTATTTAACAGTATCCTTAATTATTATTAAATATCTGTTTGAGTGATTTACTGTATAATTCTATTAAAAGAGCAGCTATTTCTTGATTTTGACTTGAATAAAATGCAGAAAAAGATTCTTAAACATGACATTTTGAAGTCTTGCCAGAATATATATGGCTTTAATAAAATAGATTAAATAGGCAACATATTATAGCATATTATATAAGGTTTGGTTAGTATACACTCTCAGCAAGTCTATAGCAATTCAGTAGAAAGTTTAGTTGACTTAAAAGTGATATTCTTTTTCCATTTTGTATATACAATATATTATAAATAATTATTATTGCCATTATTAATGCAATCATTATGCATTGTTGGATATGCTTTATTTGTTGTATTGTAGTATCGTTCAATGGCTAAATGATGCCTGGTTTATGTTTTTCCTTTCCGTGTTGATTTTTTTTTTTTTTCTATGTCTATGATATAACATTTATATTCACCTTCATCCTTCACTGATCAGGCAACACACTTTTATTAGAATTTACTATTATTAGATTTAATACATTCTTAATACAGAAAATGATATTGAATATGAGATTTTTGTGAAAATGCTGTAAAGCCAGTTGCAGAAATCTTAGAACTTTCCACCTTTATTCGTTTGTAACATTATCCATCTGACAGAAAGAGTGGGACACAGAAACAGTTCTCCACCTGAGGGCCAAACGCATGACAGCTGTCATTAACAAAGTACCCTTTTACTGCATTCATAAACACCAATCATACTTTACTCAATCCTCTCAGTCATATATGCCAACAGACAAATATCCACAGCCTTCGGGAACACACACACTCTTTCATGTGCACAATTCTGTGCAATACTGTGTAAAACTCGGGGATTGTTCACATCCCTAACCTTATGAATGAGCAAGAGGAATAGTATTGCTTGCTTTAGCAGGCAGCGGTAAATCTATTGAATAAAACGGCCCCAGATTATCTAGTCTATCTGGGTGTTAATGTAAATGTCTGATTCTCTGTGCAGTGCTGTCAGATTCTGGTAGTGAACGGAGTGGACATGGGGATACGGGACCAGGATGGATTCTCAGCGGCAGACCTGGCTGAATACAACGGGCATCAGCCGTGTGCCAAGTACCTCCGCACTGTTGAAAACATGGTGAGACACAGCACAAACACAGTCACAGACAAGGGTTTTACAACAAAAGCAAATTAAATTCTCATCACAAATGACTCACATATCTCTGTTACATTCTCAGAACTACAAAAAATGTTAAGGAAATAAGCATTTAAATATCATCTTACTGACATAGGAGTTATAGAGTGATAATTGATAATTATGCATTTCATGTAAGCAGTCTGCTATAGTGTTATAAAATCTATGATTTCATATTTCAGGCTTTACGGGGTTAACCGGTTTTTTTAAGTACCGTTTAGTTCTTAATGTGTCAAATTTTAATGAAGAAAAATAACTAAGTCCACCTTTAATTAGATTCATTAGATGTTTGTGAGCATGTAGAGAATAGAGATTGCATGTCCCCAGTGTCCCCTCATCATCTGCAGTCTCATTCGTTACTACCTGTAATTAACTTTTGTGTAATTAAAGGAATTCCCTGCCTTAAGCACTCTCAAGCAGTTTGCAACAAAATCACTTACAAACAGCTTTAAAGGGATATTTCACTCAAAAATGTCAATTCTGTCATCATTTATACAACCTCAAACCTGTATGAGGTTCTTTTTTTTTCCTGCTGAACACAAAATAAGATATTTAGAAGAATTTTGGTAACCAAACAGTTTCTGGTGCCCACTGACTTCTGTGGTATCTTTTGTTTCATACTATAGAAAGTCAGTGGCTACCATCAACTGTTTAATTACCAACATTCTTCTAAATATATATATTTTTTGCATGTTCTACAGCTGAAAGAAACTCATACAGGTTTGGAACAACTTGAGGGTGAGTAATACCCCCCACCCAAACCACCTGAGGAGGAGGAAGTGTCCGCCGAATACTTGAAGGTGAAGAGAAACCTTCGCCGAGTGGACAATGACGTAGTCAAAAAAGAGGTATGATATATATTTTCTTTTCTTTTTGTTTAAAGCTAAAAATTTATTTTCTTTCATCTTATGAAATATAAGAGTTCAATGTTCTATTTCACTTACTAAAGTATTTAATGTACTTCTAATAGTTCCCAATCCGACTCTGAAATCTGTGACTGATGTTACATGTATAAATGAAATCAAAATTGGAGTTTGTGACTCAAGTTCATGTCTGTTAACTCCGAGGGCATCATTACTCAAGTGTACTTATAAATAGGGCTGGGTATCGTTCAAAAATTTTTCGATATCAATGCAGATACCGATACCTTGACTTCGATACCGGTTCCGGTATCTTTTGTTTCATACTATAGAAAGTCAGTGGCTACCATCAACTGTTTAATTACCAACATTCTTCTAAATATATATATTTTTTGCATGTTCTACAGCTGAAAGAAACTCATACAGGTTTGGAACAACTTGAGGGTGAGTAAATGATGACAGAATTTTCATTTTTGAGTGAAATATCCCTTTAAGCTCAACCTGCCAGAATAAGTGTCACTATTCTACGCCTTACAATAACACTAGCTTTCGTCTCAGAGTGTGGAGCACCGAGTCTTGTCACGGGACCCTTCGACAGATCTGGAGTATAAGCAGCCGGACTCAGGCCTCTCCTCTCCCAACACCACCCTGCCCATCTCAGCCCCTGCTGCGGCCCATTTTGACATCTGCTCACCCTCCAGCTCGCTGTCCAATTACAACTCGGCAAACTCCAGCCAATCCAGTACTGGAGAGAAGAGGAGCGGTACGCCTCCCTCACGAGGACTGACAGGTCAGAGAAACTCACACACATGAGCTCTCCTTATAATTGTATTTGTGTTGTATTTGCTAATGTACTGCTAATATGTATATAAGTTTTTTGTTTTTTTTAAGAAATTAATACTTTTATTCAGCAAGGATGCATTAAATTGATCAAAAATATCAGTAAAAGCATTTAGAATGTTAAAAAATATTTATATTGCAAATTAATGCTCTTCTTTTGATATTTCTATTCATCAAAGAATTCTGAAAAAAATGTGTCATGATTTACACAAAAATATGAAGCAGTACAACTGTTTTCATCATGTTTCTTGAGCAGCAAATCAGCATATTAGAATGATTTCTGAATCGTGACACTGAAGACTAGAGTAAAATTCAACTTTGTCATCACAGGAATAAATTAAATAAATAAAAAACAGTTATTTTAAATTGTAATGATATTTAATGTTATTACTGTTTTTACTGTATTTTTGATAAAAATTAATTCAGCCTGTCTATTAAAATTCCTTGATATATGAAGTCTCCTAATGAACTTTATATGAAATGATCTCTTCCCGTCTCCTGCATTGCTGTGTTTTGAACTCGCCCCTCTAAAGTGACAATAGTCCATGTTCTCAGCACAGACGTTTGCTCAATGGGGTGTGTTTGAAGCATTATATTAACAATGGTGTGAAAAGTTGAGTTCGCTGAAGCAGAACTCATTCAGAACAATGTTGCCATAGAGTTGTCCAGGCAACCTGCTGTGAGGCGTCCCAGTAATGTCCTCTAGTGGACACATTTAGAATGTCCTTATACAACAGAGCTCTGTACATTTACATAATTTCACTACCAGTCAAAAATGTGGAATGCACTTGACTGCATTATGTTATGAGCTTAATCTTTCAATGACCATAAATCCTTTTATTTAACATTTTCATTACTACATAATTTCCATACTTCCATTTGTGTGTATAGTTTTGAAGACTTATATTATTAATTTAGAATATTATTCTGAAATGTGGAACAGTGGTAATAATAATGAATGAGGTGTGCCCAGACTTTTGATTATTATAGTGAATATGACCTCATGATTGGAGCAGCACTGTGAATACCATTCATAAATATAGAATACATTTTGCTGGGCTTTAAAATAAGAGGCAGTGAGGTTTTTCAAGTGTGAAACACTCCCAAAACATGAATGAATGAATGAATGAATGAATAAACGAATGAGTGAGTGAGTGAGTGAGTGAGTGAGTGGATGAATGAATGAATAAACAAATGAGTGAGTGTATGAACGAATGAATAAACAAATGAGTGAGTGAGTGGATGAATGAATGAATAAACGAATGAGTGAGTGAGTGAGTGAGTGAATGAGTGAGTGAGTGAGTGAATTAATGAATGAATAAACGAATGAGTGAGTGACTGATTGAGTGAGTGAGTGGATAAATGAATGAATAAACGAATGAGTGAGTGAGTGGATGAATGAATGAATAAACGAGTGAGTGAGTGAGTGGATGAATGAATGAATAAACGAATGAGTGAGTGAGTGAATGAGTGAGTGAATTAATGAATGAATAAACAAATGAGTGAGTGACTGAGTGAGTGAGTGAGTGAGTAAGTGGATTAATGAATGAATAAACAAGTGAGTGAGTGCGTGAATGAGTGAATGAATGGATAAACGAATGAGTGAGTGAGTGAGTGGATAAATGAATGAATAAACGAATGAGTGAGTGAGTGGATGAATGAATGAATAAACTAGTGAATGAGTGAATGAATGAATGCATGAATGAATAAACGAATGAGTGAGTGGATGAATGAATGAATGAATAGACGAGTGAGTGAGTGAATGAGTGAATGAATGAATGAATAAACGAATGAGTGAGTGAGTGGATAAATGAATGAATAAACGAATGAGTGCACGAATGAGTGAATACATGAATGAATGAATGAATGAAATGTACACTTTTATTAAACAAGAACTGAAAAAATAGCAGGCAAATTAAAAAAGTAGAAAAATAACTGCATTGAATACAAGCACATTTATTGACAAGATTATAAAAGACTTACATTTTGAAAATTTTAAAAATATAATTATGGTAATAATGTAACACACAATATATGGTAATACCTGAAATTTGAAATGACCAGAGTGCAACATTTCACTCTTTAACAGTTTTTTCCCTCCATTAACATACTCCCCTCCCCCCCCCTATTTATTTATGTATTTATTGATTGATTGATTGGGTGTGTTTTATTGCAGGAGGTGAAGATTCAGCCATTACAGACATGCATGCAGACCGATTGGTGTATTACAGTACCACGAGAGCTAAGAGAGCAGACTCCTCCGTGCGCTGTCGAATCGCTCTCGTGGATGTCAAACTGATCGATCTGCGCCGCACCTCTTCTAGTCGAACACACCGGCTAGTGCTGTAGGCTTATTGGCTCACTGACGCGGATGAGATTAACCCCTTAGGTATCGAAATTTGGTACCGGACGACGAGACGTTTTTTGATACTCGATGGTATCGAGGTATTTCGGTCAGTGCCTAAAAAGTATCGAACTTTTTCGCCCTACCTGCCCAACTTATAAAAGATTAACAAATACATATTTATCCTCATTTGACCCACATAACTAAAGAACCAAGACTTTCCAATTTTGATTGTTATGATTGCTTTCTATTTGTGGTGTCCTTCCCTTTTTTTAATGAACACACAGCTCTGCTATTGTTACATTCAGAATAATTCTGCCTTGTACAGGCAGAAAACAAGAGTACACAATAACATATACAGTATTGGCCAACTCCCATCCAATATTGACAGATTTAAAAATGATTAATGTAGCCTGTAGACCTTATGCGTCAGAGAATCTTTAGAATTCAGTCTTTGAACTTCTGTTTTTGCAGTAACTCTGTAACATTGCTGCTGAAGAGTAATTAATTAGCTGAAGTGGATTTACTTATTGCAGATTTAATGAAAGTTATCATGAGCATTGTAATGTTTGAAGTGGAAGTCATAACAAATGTAGGTAGACCCGGCAGATTTTAAAACAAGCTGTTCATTCATAAATCCATAAAGTCTTACCTTCACAATGTGGAAATACAAACCGGAAGAAAAAAGACAATGAGCACAGTGCTGAAAAAGTGTGGGGCTACATAAGGTCTATAACTGATATGGTTAAGATGAAATAGGAAATCAAAATGTCCTGGATTCCAGTTTAAAATACGATTTTTTAGTTGTCCACCCTTCTGAAAGGACAGGATTTGAAATCACCTCATGACGTCACGCTTGTCCTCTACAGTCCCCTTAACATGAGTATGTAAATCAAGGTAGTTTGCTGTTAATAACCCATGTCTGTCAATCAATCACTATCACTCAAAAAAATTATATGCTGGATTTACTTTTTTTGTGTCAACAGGTTCCACGTAACTGGGTTATGTTGCATTAACATTATTTATTTCAGTAAAGTTAAGTTTATTACATAAGGTTTCCCCCTAAATGGGGAATGCCATTTAGTTCAATCAGGTTTTCTGTAAGGGGGCGAACGAGACATGAGACGTGCGGATCCATATGCAAGGCTTTATTTCCAAGACGTGGTCATATAACAGGCATGGGTCAAACAATGGCAAACCGGTACAACACAGGCAAGACAAAGAGTAATCCTAGGACAAGCGTGGGTCTTCGATAGGCGAACAGAATCCAGAGGGCTTGACAAAAGGGGTAATCCGTAATACACAGGCAAAGATCTTCACACAGGAAAACAGGCAAAGCAAGACTAGACTAAACTAAACTATGAACTAGACTGGGAACTGGCTCCGTAAAGTAGCTACCGCTAGAAGAGTGATAAATGATAAACAATACTCGGCATTGAATGGTGGTTTGAGACTGATTTATATAGTGTGTGTTATTAGTAGCTTTCAGGTGAGCGTGTGATTGTTTACAGCTGTGTGCAATCAGTGCAATGGATGATGGGAAATGTAGTCCAGGGTATAGTGTAACAGTCTGTGTAGTGTGAAAGTCCATGTAATGAGCGGGTGACCTCTGGTGGTGAGTAAACGGAAGTTCATAGACTGGATTTGTGACATTTACATTCTTAATTTCGGCTAAAACTATTAAGTTCAGTTATCCTAAGATAATTAATAATAATAATTAATTCGTTTATTTAATGTGTTAAAGAACAATTTTTACAAATGTTAAATAATGAGAACAACTTTCACAAATCTTTACTCCGTAAAGTTTTTTATTGTTAGGCATTAGCCATAAAATGTTTTTTTTTACATCCATGGCATGCCCAAAAATAGTTGTTTTTAATTACTAAAACAACTTTAAATCTTGTTAGCAGGTCCAAGCACATGCTCTATACTTCACCAAAATGGTGACCCCAAAAACACTAACATACCAGAAACTCTCCCAATTTCATCATCTTGATAAAAAATGCATAAAATAACATTTTATTTCAACATTTACTCTCCCTAGCCATCCCTGTGCAAAGCCTGATGGGAAGGGCAAATCCTGTTCCTAGTTACACAACTAAAATCATTTATTTACTCTCAGCTCAAATGAATTAAGTGAAATGAAAATCAGCCTACTTAAAGGGGTCATATGATGTTGCTAAAAAGAACATTATTTTGTGTATTTGGTGTAATGAAATGTGTTTATGCGGTTTAAGATTCAAAAAACACATTATTTTCCACATACTGTACATTATTGTTTCTCCTCTATGCCCCGCCTTTCTGAAACGCGTCGATTTTTCAAGAGCTTGTAACACTCCAAAGAGAAAGGAAAATTTGAAATCGCATCATATGACCCCTTTAATTGAAACATGTTCTTTAAAAATGAAAATATTGAGTTCAGCCAAAACGCAACCGTTTCAAGTCAGTTTAACACAATGCAATTGTTTGAATAAGGAACCTAATACAATGGTGTTAAATGAAAATGAATTTTTCAAAATAAACTGAACTGTATCGTAAAAGAGTGTAGAGCAATACTGCTCTGAGAGTAAGATGTCGAATAAAAAAGTCTGACGTTGTTCTGTCCCTGGATGTAGACAAACTGAGCCTCCAAAAACTGTGCAAACTCTTCCAAAACGTTAATCTATTAGAAGTGCATGGCTGAAGTCTTTTATTATTATTTTTTTGCCTGAGCAATTTAACAAAAATGTTTTTGTTTGTATCATTTTGCAACTCACTCTTTTCTTAATAATTCTTAACATGCTGCCCATTTCTCATAAATTTGTACGTTTTATAATGTAGCAATAAGATATTCCATATTATAATGATAATATATAATTATATAGATAATAGACAGTTGTGGTTACGTTGGTTCATTTTCTTTTGCGTGACTCGGATCTGACTCGAGCTCAAACATACACCTCTATTACAAGTCATCATCTACTATGTCTGTTGATCAAACAGATATGAAACCATGACGACTAAAGACCTGAAACACAATATTTATTCACAGAACATAAAGGAATCATTTGTATTAATGGACAGTATAGAATAAAAGCCTAAAAGCTTACATGAAATGCTGTACAATAGTGAACAAGAGTGAATCAGTCTATAATGCCTATGTACAGGACTCTTATTGTCTTGCATGTCAGGCTGACGATCAGAACAGAACTGCAAATGACTTCTACCACAGCACAAAGACAGTCCAACTGAAATGGAGACAATTTAAAATGCTCATAGGCAACTCTGCATGGCATGCAAAATAGCGTTACTCATGTGAAGTGCACAAGAGACACAAGTCACTGAAATGATTGCAGTGGAGTACTTGCTTTGTCATATATATGTACTTTATATATATATATATATATATACAGTGGGTACGGAAAGTATTCAAACTTAAATGATTTTAGCAAATGGCTGCAATATAACAAAGAGTGAAAAATTTAAGGGGGTCTGAATACTTTCCGTACCCACTGTATATATGCCCTGCATGAGTATCTGCATGCATACGGTAGGCTATGCTCTTGTAGGGTGTGCTTGATTGATATTATCATTGCAAAATGTAAACTATATTATCGTCCAGCTCTAATATGCTAAATTAGACTATAAGGCATGAATATATTAAGTTATTATAAGCATTAGCATCATTTTCTATAAAGTTGCTTTGATACAATTTGTATAATGAAAAGCACTATACGAATGTGACTTGACTGCTCTAATAAGCAGAACAATACACAAACTATGCAGAGAAATATTGGATCAATTATTATTTTTATTAAATTATTTATCAATACTTTCGCATTTTGATTCAAATTTATGTATATTTATTATCGACTCTTGACTTATCTTCCATCTTTAATTATTTTGTTTTGGTAACACTTTAGTTGAGGGACCAATTCTAACTATCAACTATAGTTGCTTATTAGCATGCATATTAATACATATCAGTTGTATTTATAAAGCACATATTATTATTAGTATTTATAAAGCACATATTAATGCCTTATTCTGCATGAGCATATTTCACATCCCTAATCTGACCTCATACCTAAACTTAACAACCTTACTAACTATTAATAAGCAGCAAATTAGGAGTTTATTGAGGCAAAAATCGTAGTTAATAGTTTGATTATTATTATTATTTTATTATTATTATTTAGCTCATTAAAGTGCATTCTGTAAAATATGTCACAATAAAGAGGTAAAATGGTTTGTGAATGGCGTTTCATGTTGTCCTTAAAAAAGTGAAGACTAGTTATTCAGCTTTAGAACAGAGCTAAAGATTTCATAATAGTTTATGATTTTTCAACCACCATTGTGATGTTACTGACTGAATGTCTTAAAAAGTTAAAATAAGTGCAATCAAGCGATATGATATGATAAATATATAACTCACTTAATTACAAAGACCAGCTTGCATCTGAGTCCTGTGTAATTAAATATTCCATAGAGCTTTAGTCATTCTAGGCCTATAATAGCAAAACATTCCCTGTGGATTTAACACTGAAACATCTAATTAACCAACACTTACCATCAGCTCATGCTTTTTTAATTGGCATGGAATACATATGTAGGTGTAAAATAACACCTCGGTTAGCTTTGACAGTAAAGCAGCACAATATGCACTAATTAATCGTCCATGAATCACAGCGGTTTGTCATAAATAGCACACAGTGGTGCACAGCGGCCATTAGAAAGTTGGATAATCAGACCAGCAATGTATCTTCTGTTGTCTGGCCAACAAACCTCAATCTGTGCATAAAAAACAGCCCTGTGCACGCTAATCAACACAGCACGGAAAAGCCTAGAGCAGGTGCACACACACGGTATGGACTCACACACTCATATAGACAAAAACACAATGCTACTTTTGTTTTCCCGTTAATGAGGGCTTCCATTAGCCGAACTGACCTCCCAAAAGCTCTAA